AGGCCTGGTCTGACATTCAAAAGGTCTACCAGTCCAAACGTTTCCGTGCAGGCAAGGGCAAGATGAGGAATCGTCGCCGAATCCAGAAGCGTGGTCCTATTGTCATATTTGAGAAAGATGATGGTCTTACCCGAGCTTTCCGGAATATACCAGGAATTACACTCCTCAATGTCAATCACCTGAACATCCTTAAGCTGGCTCCTGGTGGCCATATGGGTCGCTTTGCCATTTGGACCGAGGGTGCTTTCCGTTCTCTTGACAAACTTTATGGAACCTGGAAAACGCCAAGCACAAAGAAGGCTGATTTTAGCTTGCCATCAACAAAGATGACGAACACCGATCTTAACAGACTTCTTACTTGTCGTGCGATTCGCAGTGTCCTGCGACCGCGGCGTATGAGGGCCTTGCGCAAGGGCCAGAAGGTCAAGAAGAACCCATTGAAGAACATGCAGGTAAAGCTAACAACATTTCTTAAAATCACCTCTCCTAGGCCATGTTGAAACTCAATCCTTTTGCCCTCGGCGAGCACAACATGCGTGTGGCTAAACAGAAGGCAGCACTAAAGAGGAAGCAGGAGCGGCTCGCAGCCAAACATGCCCCAAAGAAACCGAAAACAGAAGGGGAAGGAAAGACAGAAGCCAAGAAGGCGAAAGCTCCAAAGGTGAAGAAGTCAGAGGCAAAGGATAGCAAGCCCCAAAAGGCGTAATTTTTGAATAAAAGATTTGGTAATTTCATCACCATTTTGCCTCTGGTTCCTACTACTTTTTCTTATAGGTACAGTACTCAGACTACCAGTTGTTGCCGAATTAACATTTTGTGTCGCCCTAGCATCCCTCTACTTGGTTCGGTTCTAGATCTACATTCTGGCTAAGGGGTATTCCGTAAGCTCTAATCTGTCGAATAAGCATAGTATTCTTGAGGCTGCCATACTCTGCGCAGATATGGCCGTTGTTACCTTTGGTTTCGATGCCAACCCAGGTTATTTGATGGGGAATTAGGTATTGTCATGCTGCTCCTGTTACGTGGGTGCTTTTGGTTACGATGAGGTAAGAAACTTATGCTAAAATATTCCACCCGACACATTTTTCACTGGATTTCCTGTGGCAGTATGCGCTTACAGTTTT